ACAAACATTGCAACACAATAGCCGCTTCACATTATCACTCAGCCATTCTATACGTCATATGTTAGTGAACGGTCCAAAATATGAGACATATTTGTAAACGTTAATAGAATGGGGAAATTAATGAGAGTTTTTAATGAATTTCGTCTTCATATACCAGTCAGCAGTATCTGCTAACCCAGCTTACTTCATTTCTCCTTCCAAGATTAGGTTTGTGCAGATGAGCCGTGCCATTCCTCAGGCCAGACACTACCGCAACTTAATCCACTCTTCTAACTGCGGCCGCATGCACGTCACCACTATGGTGATAGGGAAATCTTACTAAATCTAGTGCATCCATCAGTAGGCCTTTGGCGGGGTCAAGATTCGGCGTGTTTCTTGCTCCTACTTTCAAGTAGTGCGCTCAAAAATTTACTTCCTTTTTCGCTGCCCTACCTTCTCCAAATGCCATATAACCGATTTGACGAGAAGACTGTACGTCTTTTAAGCCGAGTCCAACTCGTCTCGCACACTGGACAGGCTAGAATAGTGTCCGGTCCAAATAATATCCAAATGAATAGAATTTGAGTCAAAGTATATTTAAAAAGGAGCACACAAGAGCACTTATGATAACTAGATAGGTATACGGGCATATTTCTACGCTTTATTTGTAAATATAAAGAATGACATGCAGCTTACTAGTCCCTACAGACTAGGGCATGACACACTTGAGCTCCACGAAAACGCGCACAGCATTGCTTAGCCATTGAACACACGACACCGTGGAGGCCAAATAATGACAAAGAGCAAGCAAACACGCAACATGCAGGAGAACAAATCAAAGAAAAGATTTCCTTCCGGAAAATTTAAAGAAGTTTCGGTTAAATCATTTTTCTGCAATGCCTTGACTAAATGACTCTATTTATTATTACCCTTTGCTTCAGCGATATCCATCTAAAATAACTGCCATGTATAATCAAATTTACAGAGCCATTTCTCCTTTTTGATTGATTTTACTAACCAACTAGGCCTTTTAAAAATCCTCCTCTCTTCCTATTGGCTGATCTAGCCGGTGTGATGGTAGGACCGTTGAATGAGGGAAACTCCCTTGGACTACTAATTCACTTTAGCCTTGGAAACTGTGCTTCTCGTACGTTTTCTCAAAATACGCCCCTTTAATTAATTTACATGTTTGAATAAACGAAAATTAACGGCCTCTTAGGCTTTATGGAAAAGTGGCAAAAGATGGCCTTATTTAGGCAGGAGTGGAGGCATTTTACTGGGCTAACTCACTTGACTCCTTTCCATATTCCAATTATTTAATTTCCAACTTTATTAGAGTTCCATTTATAAATTGTTTTTTTTTTTAAATCTGTTAGGTTTTTCTGAATGACAATCCGTTTCATTGGTCAATTGCTAATATTTCTTGCGTAAATTTACAAATATCAGCAGTTGTACCATTGAAATGAATCATTCTGAGAACTCCTTCATAAAAATGATGAATTTTTATTTGATAAAATGAGTTCCAAGTGGAGAACTTATGTACCAATTTGCTTTTTACATTCTGTAAAGGCAAATGGCAGTTTCATTGCTCATCGTTAAGAGTTCGACTCTACGAGGTTAACTAATTCCAGTAATGCCAGGCTAGTAATCTTGGCTAATGTGCATGTAGAAGTCGTAGAATGGATGGACTACACAGCTCCTAAAATAAAAATGTGGATATGTAACTACGTCTACACCTGTCAAAGAGGCTGTAGCCAGGCCTATTTGTAGTATCGCCCCCTGAGCTCGCTCTAAAGTCATGATAAATCGAAGTGGGATGGGAGAACTTACCACACGCTAACGTACAAAAGGGCTGGGAGGCTACTGCCAAGAATTAAAGGTAATGATACGAAGCGGAAGTGCTAAGCGAGGAGACCAAACTGTCCACGGATTTAAACGCAGGTGATTAAACAAGGCA